TAGCTCTTACTGTGGTTCTCTTCCCTGTCTTCCTTAAGTGATTGCAACGTTTTCAGTGGCGTTTGGTCTGGCCTGCTGCACTAAATCCAATCCCTGCGCTTCCTTTTCTAACACTGATGAGTGTATTTATGTCGTATATTGAAAAGCCACCTGGAGATTTACTTCTCAGTTGGTTCAGTTTAAGCATTAGCATTGGCATACACTAGTTAGCTATGCTTATAAAATCTGCTAGAGAGTGATCATTTTAGCCCAAAAATTCATGTTCGTCAGCTTGAAATTAGTTTACTTCTCTGTGGAATCTAATTACTGCACATTTTTATGTTAAATCTGCGACGTTCTCACTAACAACTGCAAATGTGCAGTGCGAGAATGGAAAACAGATGTTGCAAAAGTAAGAAGCGCAGGGCCTAGTGAAGGGTCAATTGACTCTATGCCTTTGTTAAGCATGGGTTTTATATGTTCTATTGACAGTGACATAAAAGCAAAGATCATTTCATGTTCTTGAAAAAAATTCATTCAAAGTCATATTTTTCCATTGACTGAACCTTGGCTGTGGCACATTCACAGTGGTCTCCTTTTCTGTGTCTTGATTACCTTAACAGCTACAGTTCACCAAGTCACTGTAGCTTCAGATGGGTCTTCTCTTGGTTCCTTTGCTCACTTTCCCACTCAGCAAGCAGAGAGCTTGGGAATCTTTAGAGCAGTGCTTCAAACGGTGTTTCCAGCGCTTAGTGCGAGCTGTGATCAAATACTGATCCCTTCTCTTTCAAATCCACATGGCCTCTCATTAGTGCCACACTAGAAGGAGAGTTCTCTGACAGGAATCTAGTATAATAGCTTCCAAGTTTTAAATTTGACTGCATAACTGTTTAAGACGAATGTGTCATACTTCTTGTTGTACTTTTGCACTGGTTAATTTGTGATTTTGTTGTTAAAATAAGAACATCAATAAGAAGTTAAAGCTGCAATAACTGATTTGTTTTTTTGCCACTGGAGGGCAGTAGAATGAAGTTGTGAACACAACATTAACATATAATCACTGCTTAAGTTTACATGGTGAACTTGGTAAACAGTTGCTTATTTACACATCCTGCAGGTATGGAGAAACATTAGCATTCATTTGAAGTTCTGTTTTGGCAAATAGTCACTGCTTTGTGTCTGTTTTGTCATTTAACTCCCACATAAAGCAGACCTCTAGGACTGCCTTCTTTCATTTACGTAATATTAGAAAAATTAGACACATACTATCACAGACAGATGCAGAAAAACTAATCCATGCATTTGTTACTTCAAGGCTGGATTACTGCAACTCTTTATTATCAGGTTGCCCCAATAAGTCCATTAAAACGCTCCAATTAATTCAGAACGCTGCAGCACGAGTACTGACAGGAACTAGAAAAAGAGATCACATCTCTCCTGTACTAGCTACTCTGCATTGGCTCCCTATAAAATGTAGAATTGAATTTAAAATCCTCCTCCTCACCTATAAAGCTCTTCATGGTCAGGCCCCTTCATATCTTAAAGAGCTCATAGTACCCTATTACCCCACTAGAACACTACGTTCTCTGAATGCTGGGCTACTTGTGGTTCCTATAGTCTCTAAAAGTAGAACAGGAGCCAGAGCCTTCAGTTACCAAGCTCCTCTCCTGTGGAACCAGCTTCCAGTTGTGGTTCGGGAGGCAGACACCCTCACCACATTCAAGAGTAGGCTTAAGACATTCCTCTTTGATAAAGCTTATAGTTAGGGCTGGATCAGGTGAGTCCTGAACCATCCCTTAGTTATGCTGCTATAGGCCTAGACTATCGGGGGATTTCCCATGGTGCACTGAGCTACTCTCTTCCTCTCTCTTTCTGCACTCATTCGTGTCCCTTTAATGCATGTTACTAACTCCACTTCTTCCCCGGAGTTCTTGTGCTTTCTCGTCTCGCAGGTTCTCATGGATCCTGGTGGAGCCTCCTGCCATGGTCCTGCTTGACTGCCATTGCCAATACTGTTGTTGCTGTGCACCTGTCTGTCTGTCTGTCTCTCTCTCTCTCTCTCTCTCTCTCTCTCTCTCTCTCTCTCTCACCCCAACTGGTCGAGACAGACGACCACCCACCTAGAGCCGGAGGATCTGTCCTAGGTTTCTGCCTTTTAACAGGCAGTTTTTCCTTGCCCTTGTCGCCAAGTGCTTGCTCATGGTGGTACTGTTGGGTCTCTGTAATTAATGTTAAAGAGTTCGGTCTAGACCTGCTCTATTTGAAAAGTGTCCTGAGATAACTTCTGTTATGAATTGGCGCTATACAAATAAAATTGAATTGAATTGAATTGAATTGAATTTTTAGCTGTTCTGGCTTGTTTTTGTTCTCCAACTCCAGAGGAAAATATCTAGCTCTTTAGCGGCTAAATGCTCCAGTATGTTCATCAGGTAGACTCTTAACTGTTTCTGTCTGCCATTTGGTGGTAAACAGGTAGTGTTAAGTGTTTTTTTTAGAGCTTTTTCTTTGAAAACAGCTGCCTGCTGCAACAGAAAACGACGCTCTGAGATATAAAACTCCGTCAAGCCTAGGGGAGCTACAGCTTCAGGTGATAATTCTCTGTAGGTTCATCAGTGTCACATTCTCATTTGATACATTATTAATGAAGCAGCTTTAAGGAAATGACGTGGTTTCAGTCTTTTAGTTGTGAACCACATTGTCACAATTTTCAGGTTTCAATGAGAGGGTATCAGCAACTATTGGAGCTGTGGGATCCAGTTTAATGTCCACTGTAGGGTATGGTCAGCTGTTGGATAGAGGCACTTGTAGCATACTACATTTTTTTCTTTAAAGGAGTCTACAAATCAAAACCATCCATTCATCCAACATGCATTTTCTTGTTCTCTTTTAAAGTGTATAGGACCCAAAGGAGCATTTATGAACTGTGGGCTGTCGGCTGTCTTGTATATATGAATGTTTTCCTTTTTCGGAGCATCAGGTGTGTGTGTATATGGTGTACAGTATATCTTTTGACAATTTAAGAAGGCTTATGTGAACAAACTGTTGTATGTGATCATGGACGCACCTCCAAAACATTGTGCAATTATGGGTTGCACTAAAACACTGTGTCACATTCTGTTTTGCACTTCTTAATAAATCAATGAAGAAGTGAGAGAAATGTATGTGAGAATTTACTTATTTCTTTGGAACTTCTCTGGAACTTCTTGAAATAGGCCATATCTTGCTATAATGCTATGTTTTACATTTTAAAAACAAGTTTTGGCATTTGAAGCAAACATTACACAGCATAAATGGCAGTGCACATGTAAGCTTGTTTTTTTCCAATGAAAATGTGGGACATTAAGATGCAAGTTTTAGATATAAAGTTGTAAATAATAATAATTTTTTTTAATACAGCTTTTTTCTGTGTGCTCTCAGTGTTTGCATTTTACCTCCAGTTAATGATGCTTCATACAAAGAAGCTCTTATCACAAATGGTAAATGTTTGTGCCACCCATCCCTCCACCTTCAAAAATGTCCTGCACAGATTTCTGTACATATTGTTTACATTTATTATCATCATGAGCAGCCAATGATGCAAATGTGTGCATCTGAATCATAAATATGATACCGTGAATGGATAATGATGCATAAAGATGGCTGTCTTAGTAAGTTGTTGGGCTGCCATGGGCCTCATTGACAGCTTTTTTGATCCTTGGAATAGATTCTACATCTGGAACTCTTCCTAAAGATTTTCTCCTCATTTGTGTTGATGATGTTGTCAGTCTATAATCTTCTATAGGTTTTTAACTGGGTTGCAATCCAGTGACTATGAAGGGTATAGCTTATATCATATCATTTTAATACTCGTCAGGGAGCCCCTGTGTCCTCTCTGGGAGTATTTGCATTCATTATGTTTCTCCACTTATTTATTCCGATTTTCCCCTTGAATATGGCATCCGTCTGTATTTGCACACCTTCCCTTTGTAGTCTTGCACCGCAGAGTAAGTACAGTATGTAAACATCTGAAAATGCTGTGAAATTCTGCCTCGCTAACACACACTGTATGTATTTAGAACCCTAAATAGTTTTTATTTATGGTAATTTTATCTTTCCTTCGCAGCTTGGCTCCATTTCTTCTCGGGGATCAATGAAGTTCATTTTAATCTTCATAAAAACCTTCTTATAGACGCAAGATAGTTTTCAGTCTCAGTAATACCCATTTGTAAGTCCTGTACAACTTACCTTGCCAGCAGTCATTGCAAACCTGAAAAGGAGGAAACGCAGATATACTGAATTTGACTTAAATGAAGCATAAATAAAGAATTGTACTCGGCTCATATGCTGCTGTGGTTCATTTCCATTCACAAACCTCATGGCCATTGTTATAACTCAAAACAGTAAAGTTGATCTTTTGTGTTTATAGCCTATGGATACAAGTAAGAACATCGTGGGAAATAATAAGTATAGACTGAAATACCCTTTTCTTCACATACACTGCTCACACTGCTCCTTCACCAAGCCTTTAACCATTATGCTCCACTCATTTTGTGCTTTCACTGTGAGATGTGTGTAGAAACTTTTTTCAAAACTTAAGAATAAAAGAGAGAAGGTTGTTTCAGGGGAGTACTTTCTCCTTCCTTTTGCACCTTCTTATCCCTCATTAATTCCTGTGGAACATCCCACCAGCACACACATGCACACATGAAAAACAGCTACCTGTATCTGAAGCAAAAATAATGAACTATACTTAATTAGTGTGGCTGTTTTAGGGTTGGGCTAATAGGGATAGCTAAAAAGGTGCATGATTAAATTCTCCCAGAAAGAGGAAGAAGTGCATGCGACAGGTGTTTGTTGCCATGGAGATAAAGGGAAAACTCAGCTTAAATTAGTCCTAACCATGGCATATTTTATGTTGGATTGTACATCTTTAGTGTTTGTACTGATTATCCTGTATATTATATGTATGGACAATTACAAACATAAGCATATATTCTTTAGATCATGTAGCAAAAATGGATTGAGATGAACAAAGCCCTTAATTAACACTGTTATCTTAGTCTTTATTTTGTCACAATTGTAGTCAAATATATATACGTCTATATGACATATATTATATGACATATATAATTTCATTTCTTTACAATAGAGAAACAACATAGAGATGACACACTATTTTGGTTTCTAAGTAGAAGCTCCTTTTAAATAGTGGCATTTTTTTTCAATACACTGTTTAAGTCAAGCTCCCACTCAAGTCACGGTTTTGTTTTCCTTATTGAGTCACATTTATTCACAATGTGTGTTTGTTTGTCTCTTTTTCTTTATAATTTGTCTTTTGTTGTGTCAATATTTTTTCCCTCGGCAGTTCAATCTGTTGACGTTCCTTCAAAATCGAACAGCCATCTGTTATTGGTCCATGCGGCCACACAGATGGTGTCACCTTCCAACCATTCTGTGCCACCAGCAAAGGTATACAGTTATTGGAAACACTGTCTTTGAAGCTTTACAGACTTAATCCAATCAGCTTGCAGAGGGCTTGGCATAAGCGTTTCCAGTTCCTCTGCAGCTGGGTCCTTTGGTGGCCAAGGAGCAGTTTGCGCCTCCGTACACGAGGGACGTCTGACCTTGGCACTGTCCCTGGGCTTCTCTTTGGCCTGCTGCCTTCAAACCTCTGGTCCCACTGCCTGTGTGCAGAACTCTGGCTGAATATTGGACACTTTTCCCTTCTGACTCCCGCACAGTCCCAGCCTCTGGAGTGTTTGTGCCACGGCGTTGGCTCTCGCTGTGAGACCCAGAAATTTTCATGGGGCTGGGAAGGCTTTTCTGTTTTAATTCGTGCCCAAGTTCCACCGTAATTTCAATGGCGCAGGGTGTTTGTGTGGAGCTGAGATTCTTCTCCGACCCCAGTGTAACGGTGGTGGTGGTGGCAGGGGGGCTAACACTGCTGGGCATAACACCAGGCGCCAGCACAACAGTCTCACAGGGTGGAGATGGAGAATTGCTAATGGGCACCACTGTCTTCCCAGCCAGCATGGGGTGCCACTTTATGAGCCCCCCTTGGATCCGGTCATTCGTGTCCACATTCCCCGCCTCGAGGTCACACGCTTGAAGCGAAGGGATGATGGGCACAGATCGGGTGCGCAGGGAGGGTGGAAGGAAGGTCGTTCCCTTGTCCAGGCGGGTGCAGGGGACCTCGGTCCATCCCTTTCTGGCTGCGAAGTGAGTGAGGGAGGTCCTGCTGAGGAGGGCGCCGACTCTTCCACTGGCAGAATCACACCTTTAGGCAGAGGAAAGAATAGAAATGGCAGGGTGAGAATGAGAGACCAAGTCATTTATTTTGTGACCTTTTGTGTCCTGGACATCCATTTCCTAAGAGGAATGTAAGACAGTGAGTAATAAAGAATATGGAGATAAAGCTGCCCTTCTTTTGTGCTTTTTACTATTTCATTCCCCTCATTGTTCTATGCAGTTCCACAAATAATCATCATCAAAATGATTATTATTTAGGTATTGTTCCTTCATAATCTTGTGTAATTATTTATAATCCATGGCATGAGCAGTCGGTATTGTTGCGGCATGAATCTTTAACTGAAAAATCCCTTCTCTCATGACTCCCTTACTGAAGATTTAAGGCTTTAGGAACACAGCTTTAGGATTCCTGACCCTGGCCTGTGTGAGTGTGTGGATAAATTATACATTGCCTCCTTGAACGTGTGTATGTGTCTTCTAATTTTGTTTTTTTGAAAAGGAGACGCATCACCAATCTCACAGAATACATCCCGTCTGACAGGCTTATATTGTGACATTTGGGTTGAATGTAGGTGTATTCCTGGCTGTGAAAGTCCCAGCATGTGTGTTTGCATGATGATGCATCCTGGAATCATGTGTCTCGAATGAGTGAAGCATCACAAAACAGTGTCGACAGGCTTGGCAGGGATGCGTTCAGTGCCAAAATAATGCAGCAGTGGAGGCAAACTTATTCCGAGTCAAGTGGGTAAGTTTGTATGTGCGTCAAATTTGCACAAGAGTTAATATTGTTACTAAAGACTCAATTCACATTTAGAATCACCCTGGCACAGCCTTAGGAGACAGCCAGTGTTATTGTCAGCCTTCAGAGACTGTTTGTAGCATAACCAAGTTTAAATAATTGAATTACTTTCCCACTCCTCCCTCGGTATTAGAAGGGCAAATGCAAGCTGGAGGTAAATCCGGCAGATCAAAACATATCTAAAAATAACTCCCATAGCAAATTTGCCTTCAATTCGGTCCTTATCTGCGATGGGTAAATATATGTTTTGACATTGGATAATGTAACTGACAATACTCTGTTGGGATTTGTTGTCACAAAATGGAAAACATGGAAGAGTATTCTCGTGCTTGTTTGCTGTTCTCGCCTCTTTTTTTTTAACACTATCTGCCACACCGCACTCTGTGCCTCCATCTTTCCTTCGCTGCACTCTCATCATCTTCCTTCTTTCCTCACTTTCCCCTCTCTCGTTCTCTCACTCTCCTTTCCACCTCCCATTTCTCATTTCCAAAGATGAGAGGGTGTATCCATGGCAACAAGGGAGAGGTGGGGGCTGGAGGAGGAGGAGGGTGCTGTTAGCTTGGTAGCTTGTTGTTGTATGGCTGGTAAGTCGAGTTTTTCTCGACGTCATTTCAACCTCCTGAAGGCCAGTGAAATAAACTCCACTGATGGATCTGCGAGGGAATTATCAATGGCTAATGAGATCTAAATTGTGTAACTGTACAAATGCAATCTTATCCCCAAGAAGAAGAGAAGGCCTTTATTTCAGCTCTTCTCCTAAACACTTGAAAAAAGCTGCATTCAACTTAATAGCTTATAGCTTACAGATTTTGCCTTTAAAAAGAATTCTCATTAGTTTCTTTATTAGTTAGTTTGTTTTGTTATTCCGTGTGTGTGCTTGTGCACATGAATGAGTCTGTGTGTATAAGAGGGAAACTGTTATGCTCCTGGAGGATCTCTCTGCACAACCATTTTGAAAGAACTGCTGAGCTCCATGGAGCTTTGTTTAAAAATGTAAATTATGGAAATAGGTCACATGAAGAGTTTGGCAGCTTGCAGTGTATGTTACAAGTCACTGTAATGCTCAATCAAGTTGGCATGCTAATAGGAACATTGCTAGGCACTTTTAAGTGTGTGGAATGCACTAGGGACACTACTGCTTTAATGACAGACGTTTCTGATAATACTGCCATCGCTCAAGTTGCAAACGCTGACAGCAAATTAGGCTGTTTCTGAGTCATATGCTAAATAGGACTGCCTTACTCAGGCTTAAAGATGCTCTCTTCTGCATCTGTAAATAAAACCTAAAATAATTCAATGTTTTCAGTGTTACTTGTTTAAGAGGAATTGCCAGTGGAGTCGCTTGACATTATGTATTATTCTACTTAGGAAAACAAGCATCTCAGTGAACAGCTTAAGATATATATTTCCCAGGTTTGGTAGATGTTATGTAACAATAGATCTTATTTATAATCTGAGGAAAAAGTTTGAACTGACTGTAAAATAATGTGAAACTTCGTTTCGACACGGATCGTCACCTCCCTCCTCGAGGACACTGGATGAAGGTTCCTCGTAGATAACAACTGTGTCATAGAGGATTTAACATCAGGCTACCTTTTTTGAACCTGTGCCAGTGAGGATCATCAGACTGTGATTTTTAAATGTGTAAGTTATTTTAAGCCCCCAGATAGCCAACTGGTGAGAGGTGGCTCTGCCAGAAAGTCCTCCCTGCTTTTAATTTCTCCTGAAACAGCGCCAGTAGCTGTGCTTCACTTCTGATAACCATGAAAATAGGGCAACTCGCTGTCCTTACTCGACATCAGGATGAGCATGAGGGAAATTCAAGATGTGTGAGTGCCTGAAATTAATCCTTTGCAATTTGTAGTCTTGTTCTAGAAGGCTGCAGACATCCAATATGGCTCCATATTTAGCTTGGATATGACAGAAAATGAAATAATTATGTGAACCATGAAACTTCCACATAATGCTCAAGCATTAGCCAAAAACAAACCATTGTGGACCTCTTGAAATTCATGTGAACCCGTGTATCATCTGGTAATTAGCTTTGGTGCCGTTGTTGTATTTTTAACCCTGATAAAAGCACACATATAAAGCATGTCTTTCATTCACAGCAACAGCCCAGTGGCAAGTGTATGGAGGATTACACACAGACTCATATCTTGGACTTCCCCAGCACCATGATACTGTTGAGCGGTTGGGATCAAGTGTGTTCTCCAAATTAATTGTGACAGTCCCAGTTGAAGGAGGGCACAGCAGATCTCATTTATTTCCCTGGATCAGATTTCATAAGCTAGTTCACGGATTTGAACTGAGAGCATTTCAGTCATAAACTCATTTCTCCCCAAATTATCCTTCTGCCACTCCAACTTAACCTCAGTTAGTCTGGGGGTCTGGTATCACTGAACCGCCTATTTGACCTCAGCGTAGAGAGAGGCAAAGAGAATTTCCTCTCTGAAGATTAAACAAACATGACAAAACCAACAAAAAAAAGAAAAAATTCTTACCTTCTTATGGTCTCCATGTCTGTTGACTCATCCTCCTGCAAGTGTTTGTAGACACGGCCAGCCACTCTTGATCCATCGATGAGATTTGTTGCTATTTTGTGTTTCCCTCTAGAAATGGGTGGCGTCCTGAAGTAATTATTCTCCCTCCGTTGTTGGGCAGGACTGAGTGAAAGAGAACTACTCCTGTAACCAGAAGGAAACCAAAAACGGGGGAAATATCACAGTGTTAACACAGTATTTTACAAAAGCTGCATACATAAAAACATTGCATCAAATGTATCTCATCTCCTGTGTTCATGGATGTAAAATGGACTGAAATAGATTGACCTTTCTGCTTGATCATATTCCACATTCAATTGAATCTGGGTATAAATAAGCTTGGTACTGAAGTCCAGGCATCAGACTGGGGCATCAGGTTAATGTGAAGAGAATAGTAATTTACCAGTAAGCAATAAGAGTTTACATTAAATCATTTGTCATGGCTCAATTAAACAGAGGAGGGAAGGAACTGTGATAGGCAAGAGTTTACAGCTCACTCCCCACCCAGAAAAATCTATTTTAAGCCGCAACACATATTTGAGCCTGATAATGTTAACTTCTCGCTGCTGATCAAGCATACCAGTAGGCCAGCAGCATTGGTGGTGAAAGCAAACAAATCTGTCCTTGCATAATAAAATTGTCTATTTTCATACTATACCAGATATCTCACACTCTGACACTCAGTTTAAAAAATGAGCCCACGACAGCCTCTGAAACACACTTGAAGAGGTTACCGTAACACCTGAAAGCAGGGGGACAAAAAGTTGCGTTGTCTTCCCTATTCTGGTGCCAGTGTGCACAGCTGAGGCTGATAGGAATGTCATTAGTTTTTCAGTATTTTTTCATAAATCAAAGTGCTGCGGATGGCGATAGATTAAAAGTACAGCTAGGAACATCGACATTGCCGGCTGCTGAGCCATGAAACTTGCATGGCTGAAAATGTAACATATGTAAAAAAGTTTTTCTTTTGAACTTTAAATTGTACCGCCTATTGCTGGTGTATATATAGAAGGGCATGTTTCCTATACCCACATGAAAACTATCAGTATATTGATATCCTGCTGCTGTTATGAATGTGAGCGGTCTTTAGAAACTGTGCTTCCGACCTAGGCACACTGTTTTTAAATTGTTATGTGGGCAGTGGGTGGTCGACTTCAAAGCAGATCCCTGCACGTCTGCAGCAATAAAGCAATGACACAAAATGTGAATCATAGTTATATGGCACTATATTGTAAGCTGATGTGTGAATTTATCATGCTAGAACAGGAAATACAGACCTAAATAATTTTATTTGAATACATTTCAACACTGCGGCTCCCCTCTTTGATCTCCTGCTATGGTTTCTTTTGAATGCAATAGGTCAGCTAAGCTGAACCACAAAAATAACTTATGACAGTGTTACTGCTATTAATACTAATATTATTACTGCTGGCTGAAAAACTAAACCACAGATCATCTCCCCCACATTATAAAAATAGTGTATGTATGAAGTGGTGGAAAGTGTGTTTAAATAGTCATCAAGATGTGTTTAAAAAGTAATCAGTGTTCAAACTTTAAGATTTTCAAGCTTGTCCCTAAACTGAACTCCCTCCTACTAATTCATGCAGTAAAGTAAATAGTCCAGTGGATGTTATTATTATTAATTGATGGCTGAACACTGGAACACTGAGCAAAAAAATATTTTGCTATAATCATTTCTAAATGTCCGTGGCTGCAGAACAATAGGCATGCCTAATGTTGGCTCTAGTCTTTGCCACCATTAGATTCTGTATCGACTGATGTTGTAAAAAGTTGATATGAATAAAGCTGAATTATGTCAGTTTTGTTGACTATTAGCGTGCTGATTTTTTAATTAGGATTAACTGAAAGCTGGAAAAATTCTAATATGTTTTTGTTGACAAAATCACCAGGCTGTTGTAATTATTGGATGTTAAATGTTAAAGGTCTAAAACAGAAAGGCAGCTTCTTATCTCTACAATTCACCAAAAATGCACAGCCTCCTGATGGGTAAGTATGGCTGTGAGAGTAATCCAGCGCATATTTTAATCGGTTGTTCTCTCTTTATGCCTTTATTGGGCATAATGAGGAGTCAGAAAACACTGGGAAACAAAGGGGGATGTCATGTGACGAAGGACCTGAGCTAAGTCTAAAACAGTATGTCACATGAACATGATTAAAAATCCTTCTCCACAGAACCAGCAGGCTCCTCCGGCACAGCACTAGTAATGTATTACTCAGCACGTGAAAAACTCAAGCTCACTGACTTCACTTGAGCATATTGATTAGCCTCCGATACAATAATTTCCTCATAATCCAATCATGACAATGGAATCTTAGTGATTGATCAAATTCCACAATAGCTCCAATGAAAACAATGATTGACTATTGGCTGTGTGACTATTATACATTGACTTGGACAGTGTTATTTCCATCAGGTTTTGCTGGCATAGCAACTTGGAAATACTCTTGAGAACAGGCGGAACAGAGTGAGCTGTGCTGGTCAGTTTATTCAGAACATATCAAAATTGGAATTTATTGGTTCAAAATGATTGATTTGTCCATTTTTCCCACTTGTGTGTGTACAACAACCACTAAGCTACATACTGAGAAGGTCTGACTATTTAAAAAACACTACAACAACAACAACCACTGGATTGCCAAGACATTTTGTACATTCATCATATTGATTTTGGTGATCCCTGACTTTTCTTCTAGCGCCACCATGAGGGTTTATTTGTTATTTATAACCTGCAAAACCACTGTTCCCATCAGCCTTTGATGTAATTTGTGTTTAGTGCTAACATGCTAAACTAAGATAGTGAACATTATACATGTTTTCTTTTAATCTTTATTGTATGTCTATATTTTCAGTGATTTATGTGATGTCTACATTATTTACATTTATACAATACCAGTTCAACAGATATACTCTGCATTCAAGCAGGTGAATCAATCTGCACATACTCAAACCCAGTGCTAAAGCAAATGATGCACAGGTAACCTTTTGCAGCAATATTGATGGGCCATATTGACATGTTTTTATGGTTCATTTCTCCTGATAGCTCACAGTGTGGTCCAGTTTCTCAGGTCAATAGCTGAAAGCATCTCAACATCATCCATCACAGTCTAGTTCTCCCCCTGCCTCCTCCCACTCTGGGAACAAGCTGAACAGATGATTGACTGTCAGCTGCCCTCCATGAAGCACCTGCATGACACTGTGCAGAATAAAAAGCCAGGAAGAGTTGGCACCGTCCCTGCAGCCACACACATGACAACCTTTTGGAAAAACTTTCCTCTGTGACACAGCACTCATCCATTAAAACAGAGCAACTGCAGCCTCAGCGGGGTTTTCACTAAAGTTGTCATCATAGTCAACCAGACATCTAAAAACTCCCTCTGGCTGTATACACACATCTTTTCCCCCATTATCTCAGCAAACATAGCTGCCTCTAATCACTGTATATTCTCTACTGTATGTTCACACTACATAATAATGAAAGCTTGTCTGATGTACATAGCAACGTAATGAGACTTTAAGTAAGTGTGTGGAGCCTTATGCACAGCTTTCTTTAGTATCCCATTATATAGTGCAATTACAACGCAATGCTGCTCAACACCCTCAGATCAAGTGAAAGGTAGACATTTACCAGCAATCAAAAAATATTTGTGATTTGCCAACAATGAGTGTAAAAGGTGCTGTGGGAAATAAATGTCTTTTTGCATGTTGTGTTGCTGAATGTCATTGTCAACTGTCAATGTGTGCCTGCACCCATATCATCAAAGTGAATGAATCTTTTCTGTAAACATTTAGTGATAGTGCCATGGTAGGATGCTTTATACCTGCAACCCTGTGTTCTTCTGAGGATTTGAAAAGGCAGCATTTGATACTGACTGCAGTGATCACAAAGCACAGCTGCCTCTGAGATCCCTTGTAGCAAAATGTTGTTAATTTTGTTGAATCGTCTGTCATTTGAAGGATGGCATGAAAAGGCATTTTGTTAAATCAATGTTTAACTCCACACATTACAATTCACTTCTCCTCAGAGGATGTCTCCTCTACCCTATATGCTCTTCCCTATCAGTGTGAAAGTAGTCATTTCAGACTCTGCCTGAGTACACATTAAATCACTTTGCACAATTTACTGGACATGGCATGTAAATAAAGACATCTACTTTCCCAACTATTTTAAAAGAATCTAATTTTCATTTTATTCAACTAACTAAACCAATAATGCCCTCCTATAAATTCTGATGAACGATATGCACACAGGCAAAGCTTATGGTGTTGGCAATGTATCTAAGATATGTATTAACATGGTTGCTCCCACTTATAATCATTATAAATCTTTCTAACAATTGACCAAATTATCTGTTATTATTATTTTGAGGTCTACATATTCTACCATATTGCAGGATGATTACATTTGTCACTTTGCTGACTCTTGTGTCTGGACATGCAGGTGCAAGTGAAAGACATGAAACAGGGCAGGAAAAAGGAAGATGTCACATTCTCACCTGAAGCGTTTCCCTTTAGACAGCGCTCTGCTGAGAATTGGTGGGGCTGCTGTTGATGTGCCTGGTGCCACGCTGCCACTCTTAACAGATGATCCATGAGAACTGCAGCTCTGCAAAAATGAGGAAGAGTAGTACATACAGTAAGTGGGAAAACATTGTAATTGTATCTTCGGAACATATCATCATGCTGTGCAAGAGTTATAGTTTAGCTTGGATTTATATGTTATAATCAAGATAAAAACTGAGACCTTCAGGTGTAAGTGATTATGTAAGTCAACAGCAAAAATAAACGCATGGTATAATACATAATGCTTGGGATACTGTTTGTGGCTTAGCAGCAAGTCCCCACTTAGACTGAAGTCCCCAGACAGGTTGAGGATGTTCTCTCACTGATGTATCCCCCCCTTAGTCAGGCAGAGTGTCTTTAATTACACTTTACATTTTAAACTGCAGATTAGGAGGGGACGCTTTGTGAATAAACTCCACCATGGCCCTTACAGCACTCCCGCTGCACTACAGAATTAATCCCACACAAGATTACATTAATGGCTTCCTAAAGAAGTTCCCCCCTCAATTCTTTCCCTTTATTTTTTATCAAAATGAACACCATTATCTTACAAGAGGCCCCAGACAGAGCTCTGGCACAGCGACCACGAATGCCCCAAGAACCCTCCTGTGAAACACTAAGTCATGAGATAATTCTGTTATTCCAGTTACAGTACTTCGTGCTCTGCCCGTTCTCTCTGTCTGATTGTACATCATTAAAGCAATTGCATGTGACTTAGAGCTAGCTGGTTCAGGGTTCTCATGCCTGATAAGCCTCTTTTTCTCCCTTACACCCCTGACTCCCAGAGGGAGCTGTTACTGCTATTCAATAGTTGTGCAAGAAAACAGGATCATTTTGGCCACCCTCTTGTATACCCTGCGGGTGCAGAACGTCTCGCTTTCTGGAACAATTGCCATGGCAAACTTTCCTGGAGGATGATATCTATGTCAGGGGATAAAATAAATAGCTTGTGGCAGACAATGGCAGACCTGCATGGCATAACCCATTTCACTTGTTCTCCCCTATCTCACTTTTGCCTTGTTTTATGCCACTTGTGAAAGCCTTGGATAAACACAAGGCAATGTGGATTTTTTTCAAGGGGAGGTAAAGGCAAAATACAGGAGCCTGATGGAATAACAGAAAAAAATCTATCAATATGTTGACTATCAACTACATAACAAGGAGAGAGGAAAAGCTATGCATTCAGAGCAGCCTGATCCTCCTTGGATTACCATCAAATCACAGGTCCTGAACTGTGCATAATGGGATGTTTGACCATTCTTCATGAAGGACAATCCTTGGACCAGCAGCTGCTCAAAACACCACCAGATGTAGCTCACTCCTCAAACTGTGTCTCTGAGCCAAGACGTGACCATTCTTGATAGCAAACACAATTTTGTCTCTACCTGATATCAAAATGTTAATCACTTGTTTTAGAATTATTCACCGACATGCACATTAGCATAGAGTTTGTAACTGCTGACAACATTATTAATTTTCTTGCTGCATTGACCTCTGTTTTTATTAATCATGGTGACACCTACAGAAGCTTTCATATCATCCCCACTGCTGTCACAACACTTGCTGAACAAGTGGCTAATATTCTTCCTTTATTTTCCGTTTCATGCTGGCACCTTGGTTAATTCTCTGATGACAATGTGCTTTCTGTTTTTTTAATGAGGCTAGAATAAAAAACACAACTTCAAGAGACACACATTCATACACATGAATGTCAGTTTGTTTAACACATTTTTTAACTAACTGACACTGACTGTGTCCAACACCTGCTTATTTAAACCTTTCAGCTGGTGTTTCAGATATTTGAATTAAACAAAATTTCACTCAAAATTGGTTGATGATCCTCTGCTTAGCTACCTACTTCTGCAGAGTATCGTATGTCTTGTAGAAAGAAGACACAATATCTGTGAGAACATTATGACCTCAAAGTATTGTAAAATTGACTTTGGTGTAAGAAAACACAGCCTTGTGGCCCCCACCAGAGCTCTATTGGAAATATTCTGAAGTCATATTTCTGTGGATTTTGGTGCACAAGGCTCTGTTCTGTGGCCCTTACCATTCTCTATCCCCATGAAGTATTCATGCAGCATGCAGCTTTGGCTCATTCCTAAGGTCGACTCAGGCTCTTCTTAGACTAAGGCTAGACTAGTTAGTTACCACCACACCAGGCTTCCGGCTGTTGGGAATTGAGTTTTTGTGTCTTGTCTTCCCTGTCTGTGTGCCCCTATTCCTTCATGTTGGTGCATGTCTGTTTCAAAGTGCAGTGCGTCTCATGGGCGTATACCCTATCTCTTTTTATTTGAGACACAATTCTATTGCCAGAGAGGTGTTGATTCAACTCTCAGAGGGGCTGGGAGGTGTTTAACTACGCAATTACATTTCCTTCTCTCTTTTGGTTTCCATTCCCTTAAAAGTGTCTTCAAACAAGTCACACATTTACAGATAAGTGCAGGAGCGTGTGCAATTCACATGGCTATCAAAACTCATTATTACAGATGGAGAGAACATATGCACAGGAATGTTTCCAGATGTGTAAATATGCATATATTTACAATTGCAGATGGAGAAAACAGAGAAATATGTACAAATGCTGCATGTGCCAGGGCAGATGCACAGAGAAGTTAGATTTAATAGTTCAGGGCTGTAAAGTAAACATAGTATAGAGGCAGGGCAGGTGCCCAGGTGCATATATTAAAAAGGTCCCATGGGTTTAGTAACTTCTCAGTTCTTAGTAGGCTCAGACTTGCATTGCAGCAGAAATCAGTGTAACAATGATGTCAGCATAAACCGTGTAAGTCTTTGCATTGCTAGCACACCTTGAGGGAAAATGTCTTGTTCTGAGTTCGCCTGAGTTCATGGAGTTGACATATTTTTTTAGGGAGGGTGAAGACACTGGAGTGGTGCACCAGTTTATCATAGATGTGGTATAGAAGACGCTGACCAAAATGGCCTTCATCCTGCCCTATGCACCTGCCTCCACAGAGCAAGTCTTTTGTTTCCAGCTCACTGCACTCATTCTCCACCCTACTGCCTGGAAACCACTGTGTGTTGATATTGAGTAATTATACAGCATACACTAAATGTATTGAACCTCTTGAAGAACACTCTGCTCTCTTCTGTTGTGTGCAGTATTTTCCATTTTTTTTTACTTATCCTTTAAAAAAAAGCTCAGAACTTGTACAACTGCACCACCCACAGCACATGTCCTCTCCCTAGATGCTTGCAAGTTGAGGGAGTGGGTGGAGAGAAGCAGTGGTCTGGGGTCGCTGTGTCAAATCTGTGGAAAAATAGGTTTCACTTGTTAATCTTTCCTTGGTCTGTTCAGCTCATGCCCCCTCCTGGGTGCTCATAGCCAGTGATCTTTCACATCCCACCTTAAGCTTCCTTCACACTGTTCTATTATAGCTCCTGTTTCTGTGTTGTTGTGTTATTACTGCCTTTTATTTTTGTCTTTGCCTTCCTCCCAGCTTCCTCCTTGTGTCCAGCTCTGAGAGCATTTTGTGGCTGGAAACAGGGCTTCACTACATGCTGAGCCCTCATACATTCCTGTCACCACATTCTCACAGTCATGGTGTTAATATAATAGCCTGCTATTGTGCTATGGACAATAGGCCTGCATCTGACTGAAATATGTTAAATGGGGCTCCGATGTGCTTACATTAATAAGATTTTTGTGCAGAGAGTTATGAATTTGTCAGTGCAATGGTGAAATCATGTGCTGCGTTCTGGAATATTGATATTTAATTTTTATTTGACTTAAACACAGCTACTTAACAGCTACAACATTTACATCAAATGTTGTACAGCGTCTTAGCTGTCAACCGCTCAAAGCCTAAATTTCCAATGACACCCTCAAAAAGCTTTCAGATTGTGCCAACTGCAGTTCCGTGGGTGGGGCTAGGCTTGAGGGGTGTTTATTTCAGTGTGTGACACTAGACACTATTGCATTATTAAAGAGCCTCAGCGCAGGCTACATTTGGCAAAGTACTAACACAGAAATGACAGAACAAGGCTGAACCTGAATGAGGAATTTTAGGCACCAACAAATACAATTGTGTCTAAAACAAACATTATCCAACAGGCATACCACCCTGTTGTTTGTCATACCTTTACACATGCATATTTTAAGTGAGAGTCATGCAAATTGCAGAAGATGTGAAGGATTTATTTATGGGCTTGCAATTTCAGGGTCAGTAACACCTGGATATTTCCACAGCTGCACAATAGCACAGGTATATGATATCAAAATAACGTTATGTATAACTTCCTCAAACAATGGAAGAGGGCTGCACACTGAGCAAATTAAATAACAATAAGATAATCGTATTAAGAGTGAAAATAATAAATGAATACAATATGTAAACCCTTTTTTCAGACACCAAACGAAGAGGGTGCATTCAGGAAAGTGCTAATGCATTATGGCGATTGCACTCTTTTGATGAGACCTTCACAAGTGTGCATTAGGCTGCAATTACCTCGGGATTCAGTGGAGGCATCAGCTGTATCAGTGCCATCTATGTCCTCCACCTGCTCTGCTATGAATGTCTGGGTCAGTTCTCTCTCCCGCAGTGTCTGCCTCTGCAGGCCGTGGTAGCTTGTAATTCAATTTAAGCTACTTTTTTCTTTTATGTCTATCCCCTGCCATTTCTTTTTTCTCAACCAGGAGTTTGTCTTTGTGATTTTTTTATTGCTAGGAATAGCTGCCCAAATTAGATTTTTTCTCTTTTGGCTTGTGCCGTATCCTCGTTAATCAATAATTTAATCACATAGCTTTGCTTTTCTTTTCTATTCTGAGTGTTCCATTTTGCATAAACCTCTCCATCATGCTGCAATTGGAAAACTCTGCCCCAAAAATGCAATAAAAAAGAAAAGCCACTAGAAGGCAGTTCCATTTGCAAAAAACAAAATTTAAAGATCAGCAAGTGAATGCACCAGCAACATACAGTTTTGGCATTATTTGCCTACTGTACAGTATTGTTGCTGTGCTTGCATGGTGAGTTCAGGGTCTCTGACACGCCACAGATTAGAATTTCCAATCTGTAGTTTGTCACAGGAATCTGTCACTGTGAACATGACAAGCAGATTTTTCCTCTATAGCACATGCATTTATTTTAAACTATAACTCTGCACTGTCTCTCAGCCCACATCAGATATGAGTGTGAACAAAAAGCTTCAGCCACTATAGAGATTGTTAAGATACATCATACATCATCCTGTCGAGCACTCTGTTCTGTAGAGAAATACTATACATATTAAAATGGAATTTAGCATAATGATGATAAAAGTATGACTGGAAATAAATCAATAATAGGTTTTTGGGACTTACCTTTTGGAGTTGAAGGCTGTATTGAAGCCTGGGAGTAGATTTGGACATGAGGCCAGAGGCGTTGACACTGCAGTCCCTCAGGCTGCGGCTGTCAGAGAAATGAGCCTGGAGTTTTTCCCTGTGTCTTCTGTGGAGGAAAGCAGGTGCAGTGAGAAAGAGAGGAAATGTAATATCACGACTAATAAAGAGGATAATCCAGAATGAGAGATGGTTTGCTCACAATACAGACTGTAATTAAAAAAAAAATATGTCCATGAGAGAGAAAGATGACCATGGTGGTATACTTCACTATAAAGTGCCTGGCTCTTTTTGCTGTTTGCTGTGGTCAGGGTATTTCCTGCATTCTCACTAATGATAACACACTCTGATAACAGTTTTTAGTCCAGTCATTGATTTCTATGACCCACTTGGCAGCTCTTTATACATTCATGTACAGCAAGGTAGGTGATCATATTTATTGACCCGTTACCCTTTATTTCTGACACACACTTTACGGTTTGTGTCTAAAAAGCAGGCACATACATCACACATAAGCTCTGTCACCTCTCTCTGGAAGGCTTTCCCTTTACAACTACCTATTGCAGACAGGTGTGTATATTGGAAATGTGACAATGAGCAAATATACTATTTTTATTACCTCACAAAGAAAAGACAGTTATGGATTTTTGATTTGTTCATGAGATCTGAAAACATTAGTCAAACGTTGTAAATGTATGAGCGCCTTGAAAGGTCAAAGTGACAAAATGAGCACCAGTCAATTTGCAACTCAAATGTGGGATTTTTTTCTAAAGCTGTAACTGAAGGTTTGATGGAGGTGAAATAACACTCAAACCGGCTACAAAAATAGCATTAGGAGAGAAGATGTCTTGCACAAGTGAAAATTGAATCAAGGTAATGTGCCGTGAAACGTCCATTACATGCCTTTGTGATAATATTCTAGGAAAAGAAAGAAAGATTTCCAAAAAAACCTCTAGAGTTTGGACCCTTACTTTACAGATGGAGACTATGAGGGAAAATGTTCTGGTTGGTAAAATGTTTTAATGTATAGATAATGTGCTGTGTGTATAATCGTAGACTGTGAAGTGAACATGTCACACTGACTGTTGGGTAGGGATTGGTTTATCCATGCGCAAGCAGACCGTTCAGTTTTCCTGCTTCATAAATTGCTTTAATGTTTTTCACCTATGGAATATCATTGCTTCCAATCTGTTACAATCTTTACCATAAAAAAGCTCTTAAGAACAATGTATGTTAATGTGAGAAAGAAAAGTAAAATGGCATCTTTTAGCTATGCTAAATATAAAATATGAGAGTGTTCCTTCAGTTTGGATTAAACTTTGATTGGATTAAAAATTAATTGATGCTTAAGACTTTTGGATTAAATGTTTAATTCACCATTAAATGTTCATTTTTAAATACTAGGTTGCTAAATTCTCTCTGCAGCTGAGGTCTGTTAAATGTTTCCTGAGTAAAGGACAAAGTTAAAATTTAAGAAGCATATGACTAAAGTGGTTAAAAAGAAAAACAAAATGGACTACAACTTACTTATCAAACCTGGTGCTCAGAAAAAAAACTAATTACTAAAAGAACAGCATGTAACAGTGAAAGCAGTAAAATATATTAATTGGCTTCAGGCATGCTCAATTATTATATAGCTCACTACATCATACTGTATTTATTACTGGATAAAGTTAATTTCATAGTCCAATCCATGATAATCAGCAACTGCTGGTACATATTTAGCTTCCATATCCTGCCTAATTACAAACATTTCGACCACATAATTAACTAGGCTTTGATTTTTCTTTCTCTGGGTCTTTAAAAATGTACCTCTCTTATCTAGAACTCCTCTTTAGTATTCAAACACTATCAACTTTGCCTGTGGTAAATCTTCTCTGTGAAGTACTGATACAAATGTAATTTCAGGTATCAGCAGGAGAAGCGATCTATCTAAGTTACACTGTCAAACAACATTTGGGCAAAAGAGGTTCAATGTAACAAGGACTCTGGGTTCGGATAATTTGCGGTACATTAATTCTACCGTTGAGCTAGGACTCTTTGGTCACACTGATTGACACTGCACTATTTAGAGCACTAAAGTAGTAAAAATAAAACCTATTTTTGTTTATCAAGACCAATTTAATCAACACAACCTACATTATACCCAGCATCCTGCATTACTTTTCTTTGTCTACATTCCTTTTCTTTCTTATCCCGTGCAGTGAGTAATTGACTTTGGCAGGCTGCATTCGTGCAGCCTAGTACCGTCTTATTCAGTAACGCACATGTACATGCATGCTTAGGGTCTAATGTTTTTGAACTTACTCTTGCCTTATCTGTATATTTTGTTTCGTGTGAAGCATTTGGTGACACACCTGCATGCTAAAACCACTCTACAAATAAATCTTACATGAGTATCTCTCCCAAATGCATCCTACACAATTCAGATTTGATGCCCTGCTAAAACATCCTCTAGCTGACTCACACTTAGAATTTCATTGGGCTCCATGCCATGATAGTAAAGTGCTCTTTCTGCACAGCCGGGGGCATACTCTACTAATGTGGTGCTGGCTGGCATCACTCACTTGTTGCGGCGGTAGAGAGCCATACATGCCACTCCAAGAAGACAGATCCCTGAGGCAATGCTGAAGATGGACAGCACCTGCCTCTGGTAGGTGTCACCACTCTCTGCGGAGAAGAGAATACAGTTCAGGCCATTGAAATTCTACTGTGACACAACAGATATGGGCTTGTGGCTGTGATTGAGCATGGAGAGGAAAAAACTTATCATGAATTAACATACAGAACTCGCACAAACGGTGGATGGACTTACACACATAGCCACACGCAGACATCCACCCACAATCTGCATTAGCATAAAGCGACCAATGCTGCTGTCAGTAAATGTCAGTGTTTGAGCATGGGATAGGGACATGGCAGACTCAGGCAGGGCTCAGTGACATGTGCTAACTGAAGTGTGATAATCATTTCGTTCAGACAAACCCAGCAGGCAACACCAATGGACTCTCTGCACAGCATGGGCCACACCAAGTGTGTACGTACACATACTGCATGTGTGTCAGCATTCAGAGACTGATGGCGACAGGGAATTAGCAGCAAATGAATGCTCCCGGAGCTTCTTGTCAGACTCCTGCACATCAGCAGTGGAGGCTTAAGGTCAAAAGCAGCTGGGACAAGTAGCAGTTGATCCCAGCAGATATCGGTCTGACTGTCAGCTGGATTGTGGAGCTGCACTACTTACCGCAGTGCATGGCATGCGGGGTGACGACGATGCATGCACAGGGTTATCAAAATCACGACGAATTGTCTTGTGGACAAAATGAGCACAATTTAAAACCTGCAACTTGGTGTGTAACTAATCCACTGGCATCCGTTGCAGAGACACTCCTTTGACCAACTCGCATTCATGACCTTGAACGCAACCTTGTGTGACATTACTCAATCACTCAAAAAATTATAAATTCCCCCGTGTCTGTTCTTGCCACCTTGACAACTGCAGTGCAAAAAACATCAGAGAAACCTGTTCATGACCTTTGAGGGCTTGTCTGTGGCTTTTGATGCTGTCAACGGAGAAGTGTCCTGGGAGGTCTTCTTCATCCGTGCTTGTCTGCCCAGGTTTATCAACTTCCTCTAACTCTTGTTTTAAGGGCACGGGGACTGTTTGAGAGCTTCCTGTGTTCAAGGCTTACACCGGAGTGCAACCAAGCAGTCCATTTGTACCATGTTTTATTTTTATTTTTTTTCATTGTTCCTCCTCTGCATTACATCAGTGCTGCATCAACACATTTAGGGGATAGTATGGTGTAGTTCAAACTGGGGGAAACCTTTTAATATTAGAATGCTTCTGGCATGGGTGTGGATATATATACAGACACACACACACACACACACACACACACACACACACACACACACTCACAAACACATCAGAGGTCCAAACTGCCCTCTCAGCTCCTGTGAAAAGGAGGCAGGATGGATTTGAATTAAAATAGAGTCAATCCAAAGAAAGGCTGCGGGGGTGGCCAGCTGTGACACACTATTGCAATATTTAATACTGTGTGGATGATTTTGGTTAGATTTTTTTGCTTTACTTTACTAGTTTAGGCTGATATTATGCATTACTGTCAGCAACATCACCAATACTGATATTTGAGGATAATAAAAAAATGGATAATATCTCAATATATGCACATAGATTTGTGTTTTATTCACACATATATAACAAACATTGTGTCTTGGATAAAGAAAATTTAAAAATAACATATAAGTAAATTTCATTCTGTAAACCTTACAGGAATCATAATCAATATCGTAATCTAAAAATACTAACTTTCTTAGGAGAAATTAGGAGAAATTAAGGTAAAAAAGTACAAATACGAATGCATCTTAACATTTTCTGCCGCATTATTGTATAGTGAAATGTATCTGCCAACATATATGGTGATATAATAGCTATAATAATATCAGCACTGACTGAAACTTATATGTCAGGCTCTATTCTGCATAGTAGCACCTATCACATATTTGATACTAGTATTATAATACTTCTGAGAGGTTGAGGTGTCAGCAAGTTCTTGACTCACAGATTCTTGACTAACCTAGTAATTTGTCACCAACATAGTAGCCAATATCTCTCTAAAGCAGAAGTAATGTGTCACGTCTATATATCTATGGCCTTGTAAACCCTCCGGCCTTTACCATCAGTGAAATGACCTCTCTGTCAGATGTATCTTTGAAATATATAGGAGATATCTTCCTTTGCCTGCTATTCATCAGTGCTCATGTGGAGCACCACCTGAGACAAGCCTCTGCCTCTTTTGGATAGATGAAATAGGCTTTTCCAAAATCTGAACATAAAAACAGCTGTCTACAAAGCTCTGCTGAATGGCTGCAAGGAAAAACCAACATGGAGTCTGTACATAAAACCATTATAGGCCTTTCATGCCTGATGCCTACAAGGCATTCTTGAAATTAGATGCAAGAGCATTGCGGAAACGGGACAAACTGAACAGCCTCAGCTACACTGGCTTAGCCATGTCATATTGACACAAGGACAACACAATCCCATATGGCCAGCTATGCCATAGCAACCATTCTACAGATGACAGAAAGAAATGCTATAATGAACACCATGGTAAAGTATCCATGACAAAATGGAGTATTCAGCCTGAAATATATCAGGCAAACTAGAGACACAGAGCTTCAGCTTCTGGAAGAATGCAAAAAATATCAAAAGACAAAATCATATTTAGAGCACTCAATCCCACTTCAAACAGAGCTTTGTTGCATCCTGACTGACTGTCTCAGACTCAGACTGTCACATATTGGACTTATATAACAACTATCAAAAGATTCATTGCTAAGCCAGAAGAGGAAGTCATAATGGAACACAATGAATAAGCAAGAGAGGATGCACAGTGCTTACCTCAGAGCCCCAAAAAAAACTATCTGTCCTTCTGTCTGTCATCTGTCCGGCTATCAATCGATCAATCCTGTTCTCATTTTCTCTAAAGCATCCGCCCACCTGCAGTAGCATTTCGAACTAATTTAGTCCCCAGATTAAAATCACTGAACTGAGGAATGTTTGTGTGCAGGGCGGGCTTCTCTTTCAGAACATCTTCTCCTTCCTTCCCTTCTATTTCCTGGAGCAAATGTGTGACGTGATGGCAGTGTGTGAAGCCATGTTAATGGAAAACTTCACAGCATGCAATGTTGGTTTTTATGTATGCACAAAAGGGAGCCAGAGAGCGAGGAGAAGACGGCAGAGAGAAAATGAAAAACATCATGAGTGTGGTTGAATCCGTGTGTGTGGGGGGGGGTAAGACTGTATATTCCCTCTGGACAAAGAACAGTGTGTCATTATTAAAGAAAGCAGCCTAGATAATTTGGTTTTTAAAGATTTGTTAACCACCTGGAAGTAGAAAGGGTACCTAAAGTAATATCTATGGAATTCCAAAGAGGTTTATATTGTATTTTCATTGCCTCTTATTGCACTGGTAGACTTAGGCTTTTAAATAAATTATTTGGCAAATCCAAATGAAGTACATGTAATTCAAAACAGAGACAAACATTTTGTTTACACCTTACATAATGTGACATTTTCAAAAAATGATGCTAAACTGACTGTACATACATTTGGCTGGCAAGTAGACACACATTCATGCATGAACTGTCTGTCTTTATTGCTCTATTCTCATTACATCACTCGTACTGTTCTTCATGCAGACAGAATACACCTAATTCACCACCACGGTGTTTCCATGGCGACTGGCCCGCATTAATTTTCCAAGGTGAGTGGCCTTGTTGTGCTGGATTGTGTGTTTTGTATGTGGCGTTTCACAGACGTAAGAGACATGGAAGATCACTACTCATGCAGTCAATGAAAAGTTGTCTTACCCATGAACTCGATCCCAAGTTCATCCGCTGTTCCATTCAAGACCGGGTAGCATGAGAAAAAGGAAGGGAAGGGGCACACAGAAAGAGAGAGAGAGAGAGAGAGAGAGAAAGATACAACAGTTACAACATGATGTGACTCCATTTTACTCAGAATTCACCTTAGGGAGACACAGATTCTGCAGCTAGACCATAAAGATGGGTTTGATGGCTTTCTCTGACATGGCTCTCCCTTGTGCAGCAGGTAATGAGCCAGCCAGCCCTAGATGCTTGGTATACTTTTCTGAACACTTTGAATTTGCACAGCCCACAGTGGCTTTGAATTAAAAAAGAAAACAACAAAGATATGGGGCTGAGAGGATTAGAGGAAGGATCATGAAAATAAAAGTTGGAAATGACATATCATATAGCTTTATGTCACTGACGTTGCTCTGCACAGGCCTTTTATATTGATTTGAGCCTGAGGCATTGCAGTAATTGTACTCCTCTGTCTCCAAGCATAGCTTTTCAATATTCACAAGCTGGTCTCTTTAATATGCGCGCACCCATAGACATCCAGTATGTTACATTCTTGTCTGTATGTCTTTGTCTCTTGCACACAAACTTTGACATACACCCTCTCTCGCTCACACACACAGTCTTTCTTCATGCAGTTAAGTCTTTCCCCCCAATCCCAGTGCTGGAGAAGCAGATAAAAAGGAGCACTCGTGTTCTTTCCATCCTGACAGTGCCCCTTTTTCATGTCACTGTAATGTAATCTCATTTAAATTAAAATGAAACCCTCACTAGTAATTGCTTTTCTGACAGAGGTGGTCTGAGTTTTAAATAGAATGTGGCTTGCCAAGCTTCTGACAGATTATGTTGTGGGCACTCTAAAAAAAAAAGTGGCTAACACACATATATATATATGTATAAAAAAAAACATCTGTTCCCAGATGCATTTAGATTGTACCATGGGAAAATATGTCAGTCAGTGGGTTTAGAAGCTTGAGGAAAAATAAAAACACCCCAGAGAACTGGAGTGAGATTCAGATAGGCGAAAGACAAATGAACATTCGGATGAATGGATTTTCTAATAATTGCACAGGGTTATCTCTCTCTATTAAGGGGGGTGATTTGGGGAAATAGGTCTTTTTAATGTGAATGATCAAATTTGAAATACAGTTAGCAAACTTATGACATTTTGCGAAAGTTTCTTTTTGAGAAAGAGCATTTCGACCTGCAAATGTTAAAATAACTTTATACAAGCCTTTGCTCTACGACTGACTGGCAGATTCTTAATGAGGCACAGCATTTTCATGATGACAGTGATAACAAGGGAGAGATGAGAAAACACCCCGAAAAGCTGTTCTGAAATCCCTAAATTAATCAACTATCTAATTCATGTTTGTATTCAAAGAGGAATCAGGTGCCACCATGTTTTTATTGAACACAATGTAAGTTCATCATTTATACAGTTTTATCTCCTGCAGCACTGAAGATTATTTGTCAGCATTTATTATAAGCTCCCACTGATTCATAGTCAGTCGCACAGCAATTCAGAAACTAATGATTATAAGAGTTCAGAGCCAATCAGTTTTGGCCGGTGTGCAATATGGTTTTTGCCAGGAAGAGTTTGAGATATACCTGCATGATTAAGGTGTGGTCGACACTTGTGTCACTAGGCACTTCCTGTCACTGCGGCACAACTTACAGTGAATGCAGCACCTTACTGACGTTGCCTGATCTATATTATTCATTCAAGCTTTTCCCTGTGATTGCCCATGGCAACAGCCAACACTTTTCAACTCTAAATCACCCTGACTGTCACAGCCTGTGCAGATGATGTCATTACAACACTGATACACATCCCATCCTCTGGAATTGCTGTGTCTGGAGACATTCACCATCATCATATGTGCAGGCGGCCCAATCCTTCGCACTGGCAACTCAGAGCACCCCGGGGATTCACTTATGGTGTCTTGTGGGAGCCTTGAGCAAGCTTGGAGTATACCTGTGCATCATGTCAGATGCTTTTTGTCCGATTAAGAGGCAGCAATCTGGCGAGTGGGAGAGACAATGGCAGGAGTGAATCAAATCCTTAATCCCCTTCTTCACTTGGGTGAGCAGGGAACTGGGGAGCGGTGTGTGTGTGTTATTGTACCAAATATCCTGTGTAGCTACTTACTCCAGGCCTAATATCTACCAGAGATAAATAGTTCAAGTTAGAATTAAATTCTTCCTCTTTGTAAATCAGCTGGGTAAAACCTCAACTCACTCCCTCTTCCCCCTGATCAATCTTCTCCCAAACAGCACCTCTGTAGTCTCTAAGGTGCAACTGGCTCAACCGAACACCATTAGTTGCATACCCTAAACTCTTTCACAGTTAAGGGAGAAAGTCATTCAGGTTCTTTAGCAGGTATAAACTAAATTGCAGCCTTCCTACACGCCCATGCATCCAATTAAAGAGCCCACCACTTCCCCACTGTGCACCAATATGTAAGATCCCAGCACCTTCCCTACCTGATTTGCAAAGCTCAGTTCACAGCAGTGTAGCTGGAGTACCTGGCAGGGCGCCTCTTTTTCCTTTTGTCCCTGGGCTTTTTAGATGTGTGTGACAGTCTCAGCTTCTCTTTCTACCTCTGTAAAGACGTGTGTATGACAAAGTGGGACTGCTCTTTTGAGTGGCTGCTTCGCGGCCAGTCAATACCACGACAAAGGATGAGGGACGATGGATGATTTGTGACTGTAACGTGCACAGAGATTGATTTCAGTAAAAAAGAAAAAAAACAAAAACAAAAACAAGATGAGTAGAGAAAAGTGTGCATTGCAGATGAAACTTTTCTCCCCCCAGGGTGTGATTTGTGTCTATGTCAATGAACAAAGATGTAGAATTACACTCTGCATGTAAAAAACGAACACAAGTCGCTTATATGCACACATACACAAGATGAATTGATTTTCACTGGAGCTTGTCCCACTTGTAGTTGTTGTTAGTGTGTCCATGTATGTGTGTATGTTATTACATGATTTGGCTTCTGAAAGCAGGATAATCCTCAAAACCCTTGGTAATCTCAGTAAATTTTAGATTACTCTGTATCAACAGAGATCAAAATAGGCTTCATTCCACTCTCAAATCTTCTAGGGTACACTTGTCTCTTATGGTGGTTAAACAATTGTGGCCAAAACACAGTTTTCAGTGGTGAACAGGTGCATGCTTTGAGGGGCGAAACAAGACAACTGGTATACAGTTTTGTACTACAGCTGTCAATGATTTTCTTTTTTCATAAAATAGGTTGGGGATGAAACATATTTTGTAATCTTTTAATGAGCATTTATAGTATTATATGTATTTTACGGATATTATTAGTATTTTTTTTATTCCATTTACTAATCCATCTATCTACAATGACACAACAAAACTGAGAAAGTTAAAAAATGAGAGAAGAACAACTTTGATTTTAATTTTAACACAATAGAAGTGAAAAGCAGACATGTATGCAGGATTGGTGTTTGGACTTTTTTAACCATAATAAAAGTACGAAGGTTCATCCTTGCTTTCCATGAGATTTTATATTCATGACAGGTCTGGCAAGGCTGAACTTTAGATAATATCATATTGTTCATGTGCCGGCTGTATATTTATATGTATATGTGGTGTATACAACGGGGGTGGACAGAGATGATTCTGGGCCGCAAAAGTTCACTATGGAGCCTAATTTAATGAAACATCTGTGAAGTGCATGCTATATGTATGACATACCAACACTCATCCACCTCCCTGTAGCACCCAAGCAAGTTTTCCACCTACAGCATGTTTTCTCTCTCTCAAAATAGAACTGAAATACTGTGTACATTCAGTAATAACTGTGATGTGGAAATGTTATTCCATATATTTATCTGTATACATTTTTATTCCCCACCAACTATTTTGGACTCTAAACACATTCACATTTTTTTACTCTTTCTTTTTGTTATATAAGTTTGATATATGTTTTTTTTTGCTTTAATGTTAGAAAATATTCAAATACATCAATCTGTGAAGTAAAATGACTCTAGTTCATTGTTTACACCCTGTAGACATACTATGCTGCCTGTGATGGGTGGGCTGCTAATAGATATAGCTTTGTTTTGAGGGGTCACAGAGATGAAAAGGTTGGGAATCACTGCCTTAAACAACAACACATCAGCAGTAACAAGAGCAGCAACAGTGCAAATATAGTTTTGTATCTAAGGAGATAATGCTGTTGTATGGGAGATTCCTACTCAGAAGTATTGTGTTTTCCACAAGCTGATAAAACTATTATAGGCTTTCCTTTAGTGACAGTAAAAAACGTATGCCCCCAGTCATCTGAAAGGTATATTGTATGTTTAATCCACTGAAAAAATCCATACATTTTAATGTTCTGCCTCAATTCTGCTACATTTAGAAATGAGTTATTCATAGTGATCTTAGAAGAAGAAGAAGAATTTTGTTGAAGGGCTTTCAGTAAGCTCATATACTGCAGGAAATAAAAATTTAAAATTTGTAAATAAAGCCAAAATAGAACATATTTTACTGCAGATTTGTAGAGGCATAAAAACATAAAATAACACATAAAAAATGCATATAACACATTAAACTATCTTTTATATTTTGCCCTTATGAGGCTTATTGTCTCATACATTTTAAATAAATGAAATGTACTGTAAATGTGTTGCAAACTACTGTTTTTGTTTCTGCGGGTGTCAATTTTGTGCAAAACACAATAAGATTCAGCTTATCTCAGAGAACAACAGAAAAATCTCCGATCTGGACACACGGGAAAATTGATGTCTGCCTATAGAAGATAAAATAAATCCTATTGTGAAAACTGGGTGCCACGAGGGAGCATGAAACATGCTTCGTGACACTGGCTTGTGACCCCATTAATGGACTCTCGGCGGGCCTGGTGGCATCAAACAGGAGGCAATAGGAGTTAAGTTCTCTCTGTGACTCTTGGTGCAGAGGAGCCAAGTCACTCCATAAAACAGTGTGAATTTGTAAAGCTGCAGTCTCTTGGGAAAGGCTCGGGGCCTCCAATTTCTCTTCCTTGTACCTCTGACTTTTACTTTATTTTTTAACTACACTACACAGCTGTCATGGGGATTCAAAGACTCCAGGGGAATTGTTTTTCATGAACAATAGGAAACTGAAGACTCTCCTTCCTTTTAGCTAAACTAAAGCAAAGCACGATTAAAGACCGTAATAAAAGATACAGGAAGTTTTATGCACAAGGTTTAATTCTGATATCTGCATGGTAGCACTGTGACTATGTAAGCCAATGAAGAAACACATCTCATGATACACATTTTGTGTTTTATTGCTCTAATAATTGCCGCAGTCCTATTCAAATGAAACTCTCCACATTATGACACTATTAATCAATGTATGACCAATTAATTTATGTTGGTAAAGAAAATGACACAACATGGAAATATTAAGCCTAAAGTAGTGTTCAATCTGTGTGCTCATGAATTAAAAACAGTACTGTGGTATCTGAAGGCTTATAAATTTAAATTACCATTTGTTATAAATTCAAAGGATATTTTGTCAACATATGTAGTTTTAGTACTTCATGCGGTTAAATTTACTATGTGTTTAATTCTTTACTATGGCCTCAATGTTTATGGCTTATCCTTACTAATGGCCTCTGACCTTTCCCGCCTCCCCTAACCTTAAATGTTTTTATGATCTTTGGAAACCACCTCTATCCTGTGTTTGAGTGAAATTAAACAGAGCTTTCCCGGGCCTAACTGACTGTACCTTTTTTGTAATATCCTCTTTTATATACAATCAAGACGGTGTCATCGGACTTCTCTTCAATACATCTTCACATCATCGCTACTTAATATACAACAGTACCACATATATTGTAAAATTACCTCTTAGACTTTATACTTTAGCTGTCATTGTTTTTTGTTTTTTTTTAACTTTCTACATCACCAACACTTTTTTAATCTTAGGCAGCATGTACATACTTTATATTCTGCACTAAAAATGCGAGAGTCAGTTTTGGATTATACAAATTACTTTTTTATGCCTGTATAAGTCGACTGTAAATGATGAGAGGAAATGAGGCAAGAAAGGGATAGGAAGAGACATGCAACAGAGGTCTCAAATTGGACTCAAAGCAGGGATATTGAGATTGTTGGTGCTTTAACCCCTAGTCCCCCCGGCTTCCCCATGAACTAGTTTTTACACTCAGGGCCCAGAGGACTACATACACTTGTTCTGTAAAAATGAATGTAAGGATGATTGTTATGAATTTGGTTTCATGTCGCAAATCACTACACTAATAATGTAGGATAAAAAAATAGAAAAGAGGGCGTACTTGGGTCTGACAAGATAGCATCTGTCTTGGGTACAAACTGGTCACAGCGTAGTCCATGGTAGCCCTCCTTACACCTGGGAGAAAGAGAAAAAAAGATAGACAACATTAGAGATTAAAAGTAAGACAAACCAAGCAAGAAGTACCAAAGTACAGCATGAACTATCAGCTGAAGAGACGTTCAGATAAGGGAAGTTGAGAGCAGGAAACCTAGGAAGAAGAACGAAAAATGGTAAAAACTAAGTGCTCACTGAGGACTGAGGTGGTGGAGGGAGATACACAGAAGCCGTCGAGAGAGGTGGGGTGAGAAGAAAGAGAGGAAGTGGAAGATAGTTGGGCAGGCCTAAGTAGCGCCTGCAGCCACACTGATAGCACATGAGTGACAGGAATGCCAGGTCCCAGTGGAAGAAATGGGGAACTGGAATGGGTGAGTACTTGGCGTGATGCAGGCGACACAAGATCTACAGTAGAAGGGAAGCTGCCATGCTGTGAACACTCATATAAACAAAGTCCTGGCACAGTCCAGATATTTGCCATCATTGTCAAATAAATATCCCTGCACTCTTAAAGCCTGCAGATCCCTTGGCAACTGTCAGACATATATCCACTGAAATAATGACATCTGAAGTCTGGCTTTGTATGTTATGTTATGTTTTAGATACCCTTTAATAGAAAAAAAAACTCTGTATGGTCATTCTACATATAACACATGTATAATTCTTGGGCATTTTTACCAATCTTCTAATCCTGACTTAAAAAACATACTTAGAATAAAAACATACCTAGAATATTTTACAAAAATAGTTTTCCAAAAATCCAGGACATGTATAAAGTTTGCAGTTGTTCCTCAGCAGTCAGCTTGGCACAATCTTCAATAGTTTTTTTCTCAAAGAGGACCCATTTTCAATAGTGGCCATACTGTGAGCACATTCAGTGGGCTGATCCATCCCTCCGCTCTTTCACGGCTTAGGGGAAACAATTGGGGGATTTGCTTTGATGTGTCTGTTTCAACATAAACTTGTTCATGAGTGAGCGATATGTCAGAGTTGTCTATATTTTCTCTGTTCCATCAGTCGATGACATATACGGGGGGTTTACGCTTTCGCTTTATCGATCAATATCTGTCCACCACATTTCCACCAGTGTCACCAATCCCATGTCTAGTATAATGTATTGGATGAGTGACAGGCAGAAGTGGACCATTCAGTCTAACTCAGCTCGGTTTGAACTGCTACCCTGAAGAAAAAAACCCCCAACACAGCCAACAACAACTGAGCTATGTAAAACAAACTGAGCAGCAGTGGAGATCACAAGTTGTTGGTTAAGGCTGGCATAAGAGTGAAAACTGTGATGGATTGTCATCTTTCTTTGTTTTTATAGCTCAAGCTGCAGTTTGAGCTCCATTTGTTCAGCGTGTCTCAATATGAGCAGTTTCTTATCCCTCCCGTTTTCTCAATAATGCAGCACGGAACTGCACATTAGATGAAAATAAAATACAATACATGGTCCTCTGATTTCATGCTGGCTCAAAGCTGATGCTAATGCAGCTGCATCTGCATTTTCACTGGGTGTTCATTCTTTCAGCTTGTGTCTGTTTGGTTTTGTGTCTCCAAAGGCAAATGTTTCTGCCACGGTAGTTTGAGTGGCACAGGTAGGGTTGTGCCGTGCAGATAAGGTAGCACAGTACAATTTCGGTACTTGTTTTAGCATGAGATTGCACTTCCACCAACAGAGACCACCTCTTAGCACAAGATTCACAAATCATTCCACAGGGAAGCTTTTAACCTGCAATGAACACTTGGAGACAGTAAACCATCAGTGACACAACACTGGCATATTATCATCTTTAAAGCTGATGTGCCAAACTTGTTGGAAAATAGTTGACTATTTATACATCAAGCAGACACAGAGAAACATTAGCATTCATTTGGAGTCGTGTTTCTAGCGACCTAGAGTCCAATATTCACTGTTTTGACTCTACATGAGCCAAAAATATCTAGCTTTGTAACTGCTAATTGCTTCACTTAGTTCACCAGCAAGTCACAAACTCTGTTTGTCTTGGCGTTAATGAGAGTGGGGAGAGTGAACCAAAACAGTAAAGTTGTGGGCCAGAAAACCAAAACAATGAGCTGAAAGAGGCCATAAATCTCAGTACAATTGTAGTAAACTGCAGAATCTGGAGGTAATTCTCTGTAAGTTCTTCTCTTTCCCTTTCACATCCCATTACAAATAGCCATTTGATCCATTGTAATTATAAAAATACTGATTATGGCCACTTTATTTAAAAGTTAAACGTACAAAACATTTTAAATGATGGGTGTGCTAGAAAGGGAGTTTGGAAAGCTTCTGAGATCCCAGTCGAGTTCATAGTGATCAACACCTCTGTCAAGGGTGTGATCGTTGAAACGGCAATTTTGTGTTATATGGCAGTAAAAACTCTCTAACTGTACCTTTATATAGCGGGACTTATTACTGTTCAACTGATGTGTAAAAATACCCTTGAATTAAACCTTCTAAATCTTAAACCTCAGACTCTTTGTGTCATTTCATTTTCAAAGTAATAAGCAAAACACACAAAGTTCGGCTCGGGCAACCAAAGGAGGGGATAAAGAACTTGATTATTTCCTGTCATTGTCTCCCCCACAGCCAGACTTCAACCTCTTAATCACTCTCAAAAAATGGAAAATGCAATACCCTGGTATTCTCCAAACTCTCTCTCATCTCATCTCACGCACATACACAAGATTATGTAGTGTTATGTTGTCCTTTTAGAAGAGAGCTACCAATAGGCTATACTCTGGCTGAACACTGACACAATCAAATATTTTGTTCTGAAAACCACGATATGAATAATAAGGAAATATTTTTGGTTTGACTAATGCTGCTTCCTAGAAATAATTGGGGAAAACTCTCATTAGTAAAACAGAAGACCAAACAAAGTGAAGGTTCACAGTTTTTTTCACAAGATCTTATGATGTTATTGTATTGCAGATAGTTCAATATTGAGCCATTGTATTCAAGCAGTATAGTGCCCAGCTCTTGACCTCAGTGCTTTTTTGAGCCAGGACTGGTTTCATTTTATTTGCATAATACAGTATTTAGGAAAATAAAAAAAATATGTGCTGGATGGCATCAGTATGGTCATTGTTCATAATGCAATCAGTGTGCATCTTCAGAAAAAAAAAAACAAGCAAGAGCGTGATAAACATGATTTAAGTGATTTGAAATAGAAAATTTATGAAATAATATGAAACAGAATATCCATTTAAAAAGTTATCATTAATCACTGTAGAGATGGACCATTAAAATAGGCTGAACATTTTACAGTGAAATGGAATATGCAAAAGAACATGCCATATGATGCGTAAAGCACCAGTCCAAATGACTAATGCAAAGACATCAGATTAATTACCAAATTAAAACTGCTTTTCTATTGGAGAAATTAAGTCAGGGATACAGTGGGAGGAATTTAAAATATGAGAGAATCCCTGGAGAAGCTGGAGTTTTTTTTGACACATATCTTACATCAAATGTCTATGTTAATCTTTTGATAAATAAGTTGTCAAATGCATAAGTTTTGACTCATGTTCATGTACTTTCTGTCCTGATATAAACTTTGGGCATTCATATGTGCTCAGTCAAAAGCTGATTCCTTGATTTGCTATAAAACACAAACACTGTCCCTTTTTTGTCAGCATGCCAATCGGATTCAAACAGCCAATCGTGCACTGCAAAACTCAGGGAGGAACAGGAGGCGACCACTCAGATTTCAAGGGTAAATCGTCCCTCCCCCCCCGTCGCTTCGCTCTGCCCTACATCACACCTTCCGTCCCTGGGTGGAGCTGAGAATCCTAGTTAGTATTCTGAATCACAAACCCAAAGGCAGAACGCCTGTCTGGCTATCTGTTTACGTCTGGGCTTGCTTTCTGTTTGTCTGCATCTCCATCTCTCCCCTCCCACTATCTTTGTAGTACTGTGAAACGAGCTCAACCACCCCTCAATGAGATGCAAACAATGCTTTGTAAATGTGTTTGTGTGAACATGGCGTCGAATGCTTGAATAGATGACAAACAATGTGAGATAATGACGCTTTGATGATGTGTTTGGGTGTGGATCTCCAATGAGGGCAATGGGAGCTTGCATTTATGTACTGTATGTGTGTGTTGGTTGTGTTTCAAAAATGGGGAAATGTCTTAAAGAGAACCCAGATGTGTTTGCGGATTGGGGCACATATGACAGCTTTCTCAAGTGTGTGTGATTATATCCTGCAGCCACAGCAGCTATAGACTTGGAGCATGTTTTCCCCCACTGCTCCAGAGCTGTCTGTGACTACCCAGCTGCTTTTAACACATGTTCCAGTCGCAGAGAAAACACACCTCTGAGTCTGGAGGATGACGGAGGGGTGGGGAGTGCTGCCTTATGACTAATCACCATCCTGCCTGTTAATTAGCGTGAAGAAAAATGGAGGATAGTTTGAGTGTAAGGGGGAGGGAAAAGAGGTTCAAGGAGGAGAGAAGGGATGGGGATGTGATCATGTCAACCAAACTTTTCATTTACCTTGTGACGCCCATGAATATTAGCTTCCACATGTCCTATAAAATAACCGCATATGAGCTATTAATGACAAGGCAGAGGGGAGGTACTGTAGCTTACTGGAAGTAAGAACAGCTCCCAGAGTGTTGAGCACTTATGGATGAGATTAACTCAGGCTTGTAAATTACTTTTGGGTGGACAATATCTGGTGGTCAGTGATAGTTTTACCAAGATAAATGGTGATTTTGAAAGTCCCTTAATTTCTACCAGCATCTGTTGATTGTTAATTACTCTCTCTAATTGCAATGGCATGGGCAATTCTGTCTCACAGTGTACAGTCAAAGGTTTTAGTGTCTTTCCGTGCCTTGTTTCACAGCCACCGTAGATTCTCCTACACACTCGGATGGCTGAGCTGTATTCAAATGATTGCAACCTGCAACTTGCCACTAGATGCCACTGAATCCTACAAACTGGTCCTTTAAGCTAAAGTTCAAAGTTCATTATTGACCTTGGAAACAGCAGTTGCGATACTTTTAAAGCAATC